CAGAGACTTCATGTAATCCTGCATCATAAACATTATGATTGCAGGATGCTGGGTGAAATTCCTCCTCCAAATTGCACAATAGAGCAGTTAATGAGTAAATTTCAGCTCCTCTTGGCATCCTTTGCATCTCTTCACCTTGCTGCTTTCTTATATATATGATTGTGTTGGAGACACACTATCTGGATTTTTTTCTGTGTACAGTACTTTTTTATTTCTTGTGGCCATTTCACATCACATAATTACTGCACTGTTATCCCACAGTCATAGTTGCATCCTATTGAATTTTAGGATTTTCTGTTTTGAGCGATGAGGTCCTAAACCAGTGGTTCTCAACCTGTGAATTTCCAGATGTTTTGGCCTTCAACTCCCAGAAATCCTAAAAGCTGGTAAACTGACTGGGATTTCTGGGAGTTGTAGGCCAAAACATCTGGAAACTCACAGGTTGAGAACCACTATTTTAAAGCTTAGGTAAGGTAAAGGTAAAGGTTTCCTTTGACATTAAGGACTCTGGAGGTTGGTGCTCACCTCCATTTCTAAGCTGAAGAGCCGGCATTGTCCGTAGACACCTCCAAGGTCATGTGGCCATCTTGACAGATATTTTTGTCTTCAATGTTAAGATCCCCTGGCCAAAATAACCAATGGTTGAGGATATCTGGAAATGGTAGCCCAGTCCTACACACTCTATAGTTGAGAGGCATTGAAAGTTGAGAGGCATTGAAAAAAAGTATAGCGGACATTCTGGAAAAATTGCTTAAGCTATATAATAATCTCTCTCTATATATATATATATGATCTAAAAGTCTCTTGTTTTTAGATACTGGTACTGCAACAGCTATACATAGTACCATAATGAGTGATCTGCCTTTTATTTTTGCTAGAAGCCAAGATAATATTATGTTCTTCTTCCTGAATACTGTAGGCAGTTAGGTTCCTTGGCATCCTTCCTTTCAAAAGCTTAGCACACATATCATGTCATCTTTAATTATGCTGAAGCCTTGGTGCTCTTCCAACAATTAAGCTTTTAAAAATTCAGCATATTCACTCCCTTGGCAGATTATTCAGTCCTCTAATTCTCAGAATTCACTATTTTCCAAGAAGACCCAGTGTAGTTGGAGATTTAAAATGCAGTATGCCAACACTGTAATTGCTTTCTGCTGTTGCAGAGTATTGTTGCTTGATTAGCTGCTTTAGTTATGGCAGTGAATCTGTTCCAGATCTACACTTTCCCTACCCATTCGTCACATGTGATCTGGCCCAGTTTCTCTTTTGCACCCAGTGCTTTTTTGGGGCTTTCCCCATCCATTGTTGGACTTGCATGCCATTGCTTAGGCATCATGTTTTGCGTTGTGCTTTGGGGACCTACAAGCTAAGATTGTCCATTTTTGTTTGTTGGAGTGATTACTACTTGCAGAATGTACTCATGACTTTTGCTTTGTCTTGTTTTGATGATGTTGATGGGATAGAACTTAAGACTCAAACTTTCAAAAAAGTGACATTTATGCCATGGTGTTCATCATTATTTTCTACACCCCAAAACTGTAAAAGTTACAGTTTCTGACTATAATGCATGAATTTCTTTCAGTGAGAATGAGTGAGGGAGCTGGAGGTTTCTGGGAGCTGTGATCCAAAGAAGAAATTTTTCCAAGTTCTGCCTTGTTTGTTATAGTTTCACATAATTTCAATTTTTCTTTAATATTCTACCCAGTTAGCTACCTGCATGATTTATTTACTGATTTTTAATCAGCCTGAAAACTCAGCCCTGCTTAAGAGCTGTGGAAGCTTCCGTTCTAGCCTTTTGCCGTGCAGCAGGCACATTTGCAGATTTGATTTTTGTGGATCTGATTATTTGCAGATTTGATTAAAATGTTCTCTGTGTGAATCTCTAGGTCCTCCAGCATGACGCTATGATCAACATTTGCTGGATGTTGACTACAGAATCATACTGAAGGACCAAGTGTTTATTAGAACATCTCAGGTAAAAAAAAACCCCCAAAAAACCATTTTTTTGTATTTGTGATTTCTCCACTTTCACCGGCATCCTGCACTCTAAAGACCAGTAAATGTTTTGTGTACTTCACTTGTGGTTAACTCAAAATTCTGCCTCGTGTTCCCTCGGTATGATTTAGAACCAAGAACATGACTTCAGAATTTCTAAATATCTGAAATTAAGTAAAGCCAGCTTTCCACACACTATTTATACTGCTTCGTCCACAACAACTTGGAAGGGGAACAGAAAATTAATTGTTTATTGTTATTATTTTTATATGGTTTATACTATATGTTATTGTTTTTGACTGTATTTTATCTTGTGGGGGCATTGATTGTCAAATGTAAACAGCCTCGAGTCACCTCCGGGCTGAGAGGGGTGGTATACAAGCATAGCAAATAAATAAAATAAATAAATAAATAAATAAATAAAAGCTGATTTATTTAGGCAGTGGTTAAAACTTAAACAATAGAATTCTTGATTAGAAATTGCCAGCAGAATTGCTTCATCAAGTCAGGAACTTAAAACACTAGGACAATACGAATACTGAAAGAGAAAAAACAGGGTTGACATTAAAAATTGTCTGCAAAAAAACAAAACAAAAAACAATCGAGCAGGATTTTGACTAAGAAAATACTGTTGATAGTTATCGGCACTGTTCTTTGGCATTATTTATGAAACTGTGATTAGGTCAGTATTTATTGAGAGCCAATGTAGTGTAATGGTTTGTAGACTATAACTCTGGAGGCCAGGGTTAAAATACCCACTCAGCGATGGCTACTTATCGGATGATCTTGGGCAAGTCACTCTTTCTCTTTGGCTCAAAAGAGGCCAAAGGCAACCCCACCCTGAACAAATTTTGCCAAACAAACCTTGTGATAAGGTTTCCATAGCTTGTTAATAACTTGGGGCGCTTCCAGATGGCCTTTTAATCTGAGAACATTCGCGTTTTAAAAACACAAATGTTCCTGGATCCTAGTCTACACCCACCCTAGAAAGTGCGTGTTTTCTTGAGTGGGTGTCCAGATGTTCTCCTGGCACTCTAACCCCTCCCCAAAAGCCCTTTTAAAAGTAAAAGAATTTACCTGGCCTCCATTAGAGTGGTGCTGGAGCTCTCCTGGTGCATAGAAATTATGTGCCAGGAGAAAAAGTGGAGGAAGAGGAAAATCTCTCTTACCCCCTTACCCCTACTCTCCTGGCGCATCATTTCTACACGCCGGGAGAGCTCCGGCACCACTCTAATGGAGGCCGGGTAAGTTCTTTTACTTTTGGGGTGGGGGTTAGTGTCCTCACGGTTTTCCGGGCTAATTTAGCCCGGAAAACCGTGGGGCTACTCTCTGGACTACCCCCTCAAAAGCCCAGAACTTTTGAGGGAGCAGTCCAGTCAGCAGAAGTAGTGGATTTATCCCGGGCCTTCCGAGAAGGCGTGGAATAAACCCACTAACAAATTAATTAGCCTGGTTTGTGGAGAATTAATTTGTGTTTCCCTAGGACATCATCTGGGAGGCCCCCTTTTAATTGCAGGAATTCCCACGTTAAAGGGGCTGTCTGGATCTGTCCTTGAAGGCACACCTGAACAGCATTTACTATCTAACAGAATATCAGTGATCTTGCAAAGCCGATTTTACCACATACCAAGGTGTTTGAAAGACTGGCACTTGAAATGGCTTCAGTAAATAAAGTTTATAAAGAAAGGCTTTGTTGAGCAGACATTATGATATTGTTGTTTCTGTGTCTGTTTATTAAACAGTGGGTAGGATGGCAGGGAGGAATCTTTAAAAAAGCAGGGGTGAGAACAGTGTGGTCCTCCAGATGTTGTTAGATCACAATGCCCAGGATTATTTACCATGACAGTGCTGGCTAGGGCTCATGGTACTGGCAATCCAACACCATCTGAAGCCACCATACTAGATGGATTTGCTGTAATTGCAATCTAATAGGAACACAACCTACATCCCATGCATTACAGAGTAATGTATTTCCTGAAATTGTTTTTGCAGTAATGGGAGCCAAAATGTCTTGATTCTGAGATGAGGAAAGATGGCATTTTTCCTCCAATAAGTAAAGGGTCACACCCTCATTAAAGCTGATGGCCTTGTCCCCATCTTAACTCCCTTCTAAAAACAAAATTCAAGTTATGCATTTCCCAAATAGCCAGTGTAATGAGCATTGTAGGAAGCAGCTCAGAAATGCTAATGGTGCCATAGCATTTATGATCCACAAATTAAAACATTACCACTTTCATGAGGCCTCACGGGGCACTTATGGACTGGCAAAGAAATCATGTGAGACATACACAGCTCTGATTTTATTTTACAAAAGGGAAATGAGGTCAAAATATGTGCTGCAGCCCAGACTTGGCTCCAAGGGGCCAATGACAATGACAAGCTTGTATTAGTATGTTAGGAACAAGTAACACAATGCATTACAGTACTCGTAAGTAAATAGGAACTGTTAAGAGTTTTGTTGAAGGCTTTCATAGCTGGAATCACTGAGTTGTTGTAGTTTTTTTGTGCTATATGGCCATGTTCTAGAAGCACTCTCTCCTGACATTTCACCTGCATCTATGGCAGGCCCCTCAGAGGTTGTGAGGTCAGAGGATGCCTGCCATAGATGCAGGCGAAACGTCAGGAGAGAATGCTTCTAGAACATGGCCATATAGCCTGGAAAACCTACAGCAACCCTGTTAAGAGTCTGTTCAGTGTTTAGAGAAACAAGGAATGTAACCCACCCAATAATATCCCAAAGTTTGCCTTAAAAGTAAAGTAACCATCTAGGATAAATGTGGGGGTAAGTGACACCTTAGATACCTGGCAAATATCAAGTTGTGGAGTGACACCTGTTGTTGTTTGATGGTGTGGAGGTGAGGGAGAGAGAAGACAACTGAGGCCATGAAGATCTGACTGCTCTCAGTTCTTGGGGAAGAAAAAGGCAGGTACACCCATTGTTTCCCTCTGAACAATCTGAGACCAGCTGCTTGTGGTCTGAATTACCTTCCTCCATCTCTCTTACAGTCACAGGAGCTTTGCAGTTGATATCAGTAGAAGAACACAGAGCTATGCCTGTGGATATACACATACATGTAAAATCTCAGCCACTATGTAAATACAACAAACCTTTGGGTCAATCATAAGGAGAGAAGTCTACAAGGTTTTCTCTCTCTCAATAACATCACAGTTGTTGAAGTGTATCTCTGTGTGTGTTTGTTTGTGTACAGTAGCAGAAGCAATTTGGGGTCGCTACCCATTGAGGGCCATGGAGCATTGGCTCAACTTGTAGCATTACAAGTTGGCTACAAAATACACTAACTCTATATTAGCTTCAGAGTTAGATACAAGATTCTTACGAAGACCAGTTACTTGGAAACATGAGTACAAAGGTGTTGTTGTGCTCATGTCCTCACTGTGGGCTTCCTACTGTCCTCTTCTTGGCTACTGTGAGAAATGAAAGTTGGACTAGATGGGCCTTGGACTTAATCCAAGAATGATGCCAGTCTCTTTTTCTCTCCCTTTGATGTCAGACAATGCTCTAGGAAAATAATATCCCGTGCTCCACAGAAACTTTAACAACTGCCCTTCCCTGCTGATTCCTGTGCTGAGATCTGCTTCACTAAAAGCAAATCTCAACAAGTCATACACCTCACCTCTTTCCAGAATGAAGCAAATTGAACCCTTCACTGATTTGGCTGAATGGCAAAGTGTGGCTTATCAAAGCATCTGAGTTAAATTTCTTCTCCATGTAACTGGATACCAGTTGAGGGATAGAATCTTTCATCTTCCACCCTGAAAACAAACAGAAATATCTGCCACACCCCACACAACGTTGTCAGGTTTCATCCTCGTGGGCACGTTTGCATGTCCCAACACAAAATGCATATTGCTTACTTGTGTATCTTGTAAAAACAAAAGTATGCTAGATGACAGTTGGAAAGACATGGTTTACATTATGCATAAGCTGTTCTTTTTTTCTAACTCATTGCTTTGTTATCTAACATTATCCAAAAATGTTGGCCTCTAGCTCCAATTATACTCTGATATACACAACCTAATGGTTAGTGTGGATGGCCAATCTACTTCAAAACTTCTGGAGGACCTCATGGTTGGGCAAAGTATTATTAGATTTAGTGCTTTGTTAAGTTCCAAGCACAAACCAACAAAGCTTAGGAGTCTAAATTATTATAATATTATGAAATATGGTCAAGAATCCAAACTATCTGATATAATTTATACATGTGGACATTCTCCTCCTCTTTTAAGCATCTTTATATACCAATAGTAATTTCAGTGTCCTGAACCACAACATTAAGAAACATTCGTAGCTCAATGTTTTCACTTCTCTGTTTGGCACCATCATACCTCCTTAAGAAATGGGGCTACAAAGTGGAATCCACGACATGCGAGTGTGGAGAAGAGCAAACTACAGACCATATGCTGCAATGCAACCTGAGCCCTGCACAATGGAGGACCTTCTTATAGTAACACCAGAAGCACTCCAAGTGGCCAGCTACTGGTCAAATGACATCAACTACCAAGCTTGCAAATTTTGTGTTTTGTTTGTTTGTTAAAAAATTCAGTACAACTGTTTGGTTTGCTCCTGACACGATAAATAAATAAATATACCTCCAATGAAGCTCCCTTTCAAGGTACGCCCTGTAAAAAGCAGCATAGGATCGAAGGAGAGTCGAGACCCCAAAGGAGGCACCCCAACCATCACACAGATGCCACAACCAAGGTGACAAGATGCTAGCGCAGCCGTCTGATGAAGGAGGAAAGATGTTAAACAGGAAAAGCAAAGCAGCAATGACATTTTATGTTTTATCATTCTGAAGAATAACAAAAGTTGCATCCAGTGCATCTGCTGTCTATATGCAGCCGCAACCTCCTCCTTCATTGGCTCACACTCGTTCCAGCCATGGCTATGTGGTCTGCACAGCAGAAACTGGACTACAATATTCCCCTTTGGCTTTAAATAGCATGCATCATCCAAGTGCTGAGACCAGTCCACTTGCTACTTGAGCAGCAAATAGGCACCTCTGCTCCCAAAATCAAGGAACCACTAGTGCTTTTTTTATGGTCAAGGATGACTTCTGATCATCTATATGGGAGTGGACAAATTTGGAGATTCCTACTTTGGTCTTTTTATTTTACCTAGTAGGTAAAGGTTAAGGTTTTTCCCTGACATTAAGTCCAGGTGTGTCCAACTCCGGGGGTTGGTGCTCATCTCCATTTCTACGCCAAAGAGCCAGCGTTGTCCGTAGACACCTCCAAGGTCATGTGGCTGGCATGACTGCATGGAGTGCCATTACCTTTTCCGCCAGAGCGGTACCTATTAATCTGCTCACATTTGCATGTTTTGGAACTGCCAGGTTGCTAGAAGCTGGGCTAACAAGTGGGAGCTCATCCTGCTCCCTGGATTCGAACCACCGACCTTTCAGTCAGCAAGTTCAGCAGCTCAGTGGTTTAAACTGCTGCACCAGCGGGAGCTCCACAAATAAAGTAAGAATAATATATATGTATACAAATGAAGTAAACATATAAATGAAAACCAAAAGTTAAAAACATCTAACCTCAATACAGAACCAATTATTAAAAACCATGTAATCAAAATAAAAAATCATTATAAATACATAAAGGAAGAAGTGGACAGCTGTTGCAAATCCAGGGGCCAATTTTCTGTCTCTAGGATTCCAGAGAGAAAGGGCTGCCAAATATTTCCAAAATGAAACAAAACTGTTTCCAGGGCATGGTACCCCTGGTATGTGAATTTGAGGCCCTTTACACATAATTATATGTATAAAATCCACATTGAACTGGATTATATGGCACATAACCCAGTTCAAAGCAGATATTGTGGATTATCTGCCTTGATATTCTGGTTATATGGCTGTGTGGAAGGGCCCTGAGGCTCTTGGGGCTTATGTTACAGTTGCTTTTCTTTCCATTTCCTTGTTTATCTTAAAGACCAATTGGAAAAAAGTTATAACCAAACAAAAGTATAGTTTAGCACTGTGAAGGAAACCCTTCCCCTGCAAAAAATATTTATGACCCAAACATGTATCTGAAGGAAGGAAAAAGAGGTAAAATGGCTATATCATCCAGTAGCCCTTTAAAGTAGGGATAGAAAATATAAGATTTGTAGTTTCATTATTTATATTACAATTTTCTCCTTGCCCAGCTTTTTCCTTCTCATTTGTAAATACAGAAAAAGCAGTTTGAAAGGCAGAATCCTTGAAAACCACTACTCCAGGCCATCTTGTTTCCAGGAAAGTATTAAATCCTATATGCAGGACTCTAACATGAAGCAACACAACAGAACTGCAAGCAGGAAACAGAGTACGTACCAATGTATCCAAACATCCAACGACCTCAAATGCATAGTCGACACCATGACCAGTCATTTCAACCAGTACGTCCTGAATGGGCTTCTTGTAATCTTGAGGGTTAAGGCACTCTGTGGCTCCCAATTCTTTTGCCTTCAGAAATTTGTCTTTGTTGATGTCAATCCCAATAATCCGAGAAGCTCCAGCTGTTTTGCACCCCATGACCACAGAAAGACCCACTCCTCCCAAACCAAAGATGGCACAAGTGGAGCCAGGCATGACCTACAAATGGCAAAGAAAAAAAAGGACAGGATCAATGCCAGCTTTGCAATGGGACATAGTAAAAGAGAAAATATTGTAAGCAGCATGTATGGAACAGTAATAGAATATTTTTTATGAGTTGCCTCACCTGAGCTGTATTGAGGGCAGCGCCATAACCAGTGGAAAACCCACAGCCAAAGAGGCAGACTTTATCCAATGGAGCAGCAGCATCAATTTTAACTACAGTGGAGTCAGGCATGACAGTGTATTCAGAGAAAGTGCTGATCCAAAGGAAGTGGTGGATTAGCTTCCCTTTGCAGGTAAACCGGCTAGTTTTGTCTGGCATCAGATTCTGAGGTTCACAGAGGCTGTTTCAGAGAAACTGGAGTCGTCAGTAACAACAACAACAACACAACCCTCTGAAATGTGCATTGCTCATAATCTACAGCCAAGTGAAATGCAAGATAAATTGCAAAAAGAACTCACTGGGTTTGCAGGCAACAGTTGGTATTAGATTTTAGACATGAGCTACATTCTCCGCACTGAGGCAAACAAAGTGGGATGACTTTGTCTCCTAGAAATAAAATAAAAGAAGTTGGATAAATAAACATACATGATGGTCCTGTTTCTACAACCAATTTATGAACTGAAACGTCACCATAAATTAACTTGTCTTGTGCTCTCTCATGCTAAAATACACAATAATAATGATCGACACACTGGGTGCCTAAAGACCTTGGCCTACGCTTAAATACAATTGCCGCTGACAAAATTACCATCTGCCAGCTGCAAAAGGCCACCTTACTGGGATCTGCACACATTATTTGCACACATAATAATAATAATAATAATAATAATAATAATAATAATAATAATAATAATCTTTTATTTATATCCCGCCACCATCTCCCAAAGGGACTCAGGATGGCTCACAAAACACTCAAGGTGTGACATGCAAAATACAGCATGTGCAAGGCAAAACATACAGGCAGACAATAAACAATCAACACAACATAATACATTCACAGTACCCCCTGGTAAGAATAATAAAATACAGTGATTGCTGTTGATAAAACAGCAGTATTCAATCTCAGAAGTATAAAGTACTAATAAAGAATCTAAAGGTCCTCAATGTTTAGACTCTAATGAGAGTCTAAACATTGAAAGCACCTTCAGAAATTAAGACTGCAAATTGTGCATATCCTCTATCTAGTGCAGAGGTCCTCAAACTTTTTAAACAGAGGGCCAGGTCACAGTCCCTCAAACTGTTGGAGGGCCGGATTATAATTTGGAAAAAAAATGAATGAATTCCTATGCACACTGCACATATCTTATACACAATACAATAATTAAAATGAAGAATAATGTTAACAAATATAAACATATTAGTATCTCAATGGGAAGTGTGGGCCTGCTTTTGGCTGATGAGATAGGATTGTTGTTATTGTTGTGTGCTTTCAAGTCGTTTCAGACTTGGGTTGACCCTGAGCGAGGGCCGGGTAAATGACCTTGGAGGGCCGTATCCGGCCCCCAGGCCTTAGTTTGAGGACCCCTGATCTAGTGCCTCTACTACCAGCAGCTTTTGTGGCATTTAAATCCAAAGGCATTTTAAAATGCTGGAGCCCATCCACTCACATACCTGGTTTCAGGCAAGTCACTCCTTCACCCACACTCTCTACAATTCCAGCTCCTTCATGTCCTGGGATAACAGGATAATTGACTTTAGGGAAGGAACCTGACAGAACGTGGTCATCGGTTCCACATATCCCAGTGGCTATTATCTATAAGATACAACATTTGGTCAACATCTTAGATAACCCATATACCCACAAATATGCCAAGCTGTCTTTGAAGATGACTTGGAAGCGGCAGTGCCTTGACTCCAGACTCCACTAACATGAGGACATCATATACAGTATTGGTATCCATTGTTTCATTTATCCATATTCAACAAAATATGCCTTTTGGGATATTTTCTAGGTCCTGCAGCATGGTGCAGGAACAACTTCCAAGGAGGCCAGATTCCTCTCTGGCCCATTTAGCAACAGCTTGGAAACTCTGACAGACAGGCTAAGAGTCTATATGGAATTTCAAAATTTTATATTGTCAATAATAAATAAATAAATAAACTTTATTTATACCCCGCCACCATCTCCCCAAAGGGAACTCGGAGCGGCTTACATGAGGCCAAAACCAGTGATACATTACAGCAATATAAAAAATAAACCACAAAATAACATCACAATAAAATAAATAAACCAACAAGTAAAATAAACAGCACAAAATAACATAATGTAAAATAAAACATAGTGGGCAGGCCAAATTGTTTTTGACATTCACTGTTTTTTTCCAATTGGTGTCAAAAATAATAGAAAAAATATGCAATGTAGCCAAATTCCTTGGAGCACACAAATTCCCCGAAATATCTGCCTTCTTCCAGCATCGCTGCCTATTCTTGCAGGCTGTAAGAGAAAAACACAAATCGAGAAGTGAAGGCAGGGCCCTTCCAGGCAGGCCCTATATCCCAGGATCTGGTCCCAGGTTTTCTGTTTTTCCTAGTTCTTAAAATCCTGTTAAAAGCAGATCAGATCTGGGATCAGATCCTGAGATATAGGGCCTGTCTGGAGGGGCCCTCAGAAAGAGGACCAACAATGCTACATTTCCTGGTCTTTGAAGCAGTGAGGACTGGAGGTTCTCCATGTCAGTGGAGATGAATCTATTTTGGGTTTTAATCTGAATGCTTAACAAACTACTGTTGAGTTGAATGTTGTTTGTTCAGCACCTCGGACAGCTCCTTGAGACTCAACCTAAGGGTTTGCAAGGAAAAATCTGGTCTACCTTGATGCGAACTTCATGAGACTTTGGTGGAGCAACTTCTATCTCTTCAATAGAAAGTGGCTTGCCTATTTCCCAGGCAACTGCAGCCTTACATTTTATAATCTGTAGGGGGGAAAAAGAGATGTTTTTAATACTTTAATTGTATTCTAGATGATGTAACTTATTTCTAAATTGAATTGTTTGTGTTAACTTTCTATTATCCCTTGCTTAACTGTATCTTATTTATCTATTTAATAATGTCAGCCACCTTGGCCCCTATGAAATCTTGTGCTTCTAATTTCTTTCAGTGAGTTTGAAAAGTGCTATAAGAGGTATGAGCAAACTTTGGCCCTTCCGGTATTTTGGACTTCAACTCCTGTTAGGAAATGTGGAAGTTGAAGTCCAAAACACCTGGAGAGCCAAAGTTTGCCCATGCCTATGCTTACAAGATCCCTTTGCATAGTGATAATTCAGACAAGGCTATTGTTTTGAATCCCACTGCTATCCATCAACAGGCCCTTCTAGGTAAAGGTAAAGATCTTTACCTAGGGGGTTGGTGGTCCTCTCCATTTCTAAGCCGAAAAGCCGGCATTGTCCATAGACACCTCCAAGGTCATGTGGCTGGCATGACTGCATGGAGCGCCGTTACCTTCCCGCCAGAGCGGTACCTATTGATCTACTCACATTTGCATGTTTATTAACTGCTAGGTTGGCAGAAGCTGTGGCTGACATCAGAAGCTCACATTGCTCCCTGGATTCGAACCTACATCTTTTGGTCAACAAACTCAGCAGCTCAGCGGTTTAACCCACTGCGCCACCAGGGGCTCCCTCAGGCCCCTTCTACATTGCCATATAAAATCCAGATTATCTTTTGTTTGAACTGGATTATGATTTGAACTGGATTATATGAGTCTACACTGCCATATAATCCAGTTCAAAGAAGTTAATCTGGATTATATATGGCAGGCCCTTCTACACTGCCATATAAAATCCAGATTATTTTCTTTGAACTGGATTATGATTTGAACTGGATTATATGAGTCTACACTGCCATATAATCCAGTTCAAAGAAGTTAATCTGGATTTTATATGGCAGGCCCCTTCTACACTGCCATATACAATCCAGATTATTTCCTTTGAACTGGATTAAATTATGTGGCTGTGTAGACTCATATAACCCAGTTCAAAACAGATAATGTGGATTATCTGCTTTGATAACCTTGATTATATGACTGTATAGAAGGGGCCTCAGTTTTCCTGCCTCTGGAGTAAGTACATTTCAAAGGCAACACTTACAGGGTGCATCTACACTGTAGAATTATTGCAATTTGACACTAATTTAACTGCCTTGGCTCAATGCTATGGTGTCATGGGAGTATCATGGAAGTTGTAGTTTAGTGAGGCACTAGCACTCCTTGGCAGAGAAAGCTTTTTTTTTTGGTCATGTCAGGAGCAACCTGAGAAACTGCAAGTCGCTTCTGGTGTGAGAGAATTGGCTGTCTGCAAGGATGTTGCCCAGGAGACGCCCGGATGATTTGATGTTTTATCATCCTTGTGGGAGGCTTCTCTCATGTCCCCGCATGAAGAGCTGGAGCTGATAGAGGGAGCTCATCCGCCTCTCCCCGGAGCTAAGGACCATGGAAAACTATACTTCCTATATTTCCATAGCAGTGAGCCTTGGTGTTTAAAGTGGTGTCAAAACGCATTAATTGTACAGTGTAGATGCACCTCTACCCAAATTAGTTTAGGAGTAAGTCCCATTGCATTACGCATAACTTGTTTCTCAGAATTTGAGATGATCAGCATCTTAAGGTTTGCAGACTCTTATATGTGAAAAGAAACTAATTGAAAACTAAACGTTTTGTTACCCATCTGCAAGCTGAAAACCAGTCATAGTAATAGTTTAAGTGTTGCATTTGGGTTCTGGAAGAGGACAGTTCAAATCCCTAATCACCATGCAACCCATAGGGTGGACCTTGGGCAAGTGACACTCTCTCAGCCTCAGAGAAGAACACAAAGGTAAGCCCTTTCTGAACATAATCTCTCCAACATATATATCTTCCATATGTTTATATCTATGTATGTATTCAAAAGATACAGTTTTCTTACTTTCCCTGCAGTATCCATATTTGCAAGCTAGTTTCCCTCTTTTGCAGACTCGCCCTTTGGAAGGATGGAACAATCCCCGGACTCAATCACCAGCCACATGCATTACAAATAGAACCACAATACTGAAGAGGGCCCACTCAGCCACCGTAGGCATGCCGCTGGGATCTCTGGGAAATGTAGTCTTTTCTACTAAACTTGCATTTCTCTCCTTTTCAGCTCCTAGAAATATTCATTCATAATATTTATTATATCTCTAGCTCACTGTATGTTAGCCTGATCAGTTAAATAGTAGATGCAATAATGCAGAAATAATTGTCAGTGCTCTTTAAGGGAGAAAAGAGCATTTCCCTTTTACATGAAAGGCAATGGTAAGTTGCACTATTGTGTGGACTGGTTAGGGAATTGCATTGAGCAACATCTGCAGAGTTGGAGATTCCCTAGCCTGGGATTCATTATGTGGCTGATTCCTGATATATTCCTGCCATAGAACATGGACTGTGTTAGAGGTTAATGCAAAGAAACAATAAGTCTTGCAACAGAGAACTTTGCTTATTAATGGATGGTGGCTTTTAAAGCCCATCTTCAGATTCAAACTAATTTCTGCTCATGTAAAAAGCTGTAGATACCTTTGCTAATCATCATTAAATTTATTACTTAAATCAAGAAATAGTTTTCTAAGAGCTACAGAGACACTCGCTGGAACACCCCAGCAAGCGAGAGTCCAAAAGTGGCAGGCTCAAACCCAGAGCCTCAATCATGGAATCATAGAATCAAAGAGTTGGAAGAGACCTCATGGGCCATCCAGTCCAACCCCCTGCCAAGAAGCAGGAATATTGCATTCAAATAACCCCTGACAGATGGCCATCCAGCCTCTGTTAAAAGCTTCCAAAGAAGGAGCCTCCACCACACTCCGGGGCAGAGAGTTCCACTGCTGAACGGCTCTCACAGTCAGGAAGTTCTTCCTCATGTTCAGATGGAATCTCCTTTCTTGTAGTTTGAAGCCATTGTTCCGACCTAGTCTCCAGGGAAGCAGAAAACAAGCTTGCTCCCTCCTCCCTGTGGCTTCCTCTCACATATTTATACATGGCTATCATATCTCCTCTCAGCCTTCTCTTCTTCAGGCTAAACATGCCCATCTCCTTAAGCCACTCCTCATAGGGCTTGTTCTCCAGACCCTTGATCATTTTAGTCGCCCTCCTCTGGACACATTCCACAGGACCTTTTGCAGTCTCTACCACTGGGGGTGTGGACTTCAAGAATAGCTGTGCTTAGCCATGCCCACCTCATCCCTCTTTGCATCGCCACTCGCCAGGGAGGGGAAACCATGAGATTTTAAAACTGTTTAGGCTTTACCAAAGTTGCTTGCTTAATGGTTCTGAAAATCAAAATAACCATGGGAGACATCCGAACATTACAGAATAATTTCACACTGCCTTGCTGCTCATTATCCGAGATGGTCAAGCAGCAGTCTTTGTCTAAATATAAAATAAACTGAATCTACAAAGGTGTCTAAAGAGAAGGCAGCAAAGCCTTTCCCTGCAATAAACCCTTTCCCTACAATAAAGAAAGCACGTGTCCATCACAAAAGGGGACCCTCCATGACTCTCCACAACTTCCTTTTCAGCAAAACATGTGTCTTGGCTCAAAAAAGGTTGGCCCAATTCAGGGTTTGGTAATCCCTTGATTGTTTGAGTTAATTGTTGGGGTGATGACAAAGGAGGATGTGATGTGCCGGTGAAAGGTTACCAAGGTGGCTTCATACTCCAAAGAGTTATGTATATAAAAGTATAAAACACAAAAAGATTAAACACACACATAGGGGTCCTGGTATTTGCTGACCAGCGGATCCTGGGGGCAGCAGTGGCCCGGGACTTTGGGGCGTTTTGGGGTTGTTCCAGGGGTTGGTGATGCATGCAAGGGCCTTCATAGGGAAGGGGGGAAAAGAAAAGGAGTGGGTAGGCAGGGAACCTCAGCCAGGGATGATGAGCTCCATAGGGGCAGAAGCTGGCTGCGGTGGCGGAGAGAGAAAGGAGAAAAAGCAAGTCAAAAAAGATACAGAGAAGCAAGCATAACAAAATATTTTTTTTATTGGGGGATAGTTTCACAGTTTGAGGGAGAAAAGGGAGTTTGAAACAATGATCTTCCAGAATCAGCTCTGCTACAGATCCTCTCCCGTTTTTCTGCCAATTAATAGTTTTCCACGGGGAGGAGGAGGTCGTGGCTCCAAATCACACGTAATGGTGAATTGTATGGAAATAGGAGCAGTTTATCCCAAGAGTGAATTATTAGGATCTCCCACCACGCACACAGAGAGCATCTTTATACTTTATTGTTTCTATGCAGAACAAAAATGGCTTTTTCTTCTTTAGCTTGCCAACTTCTATCTGGATCTAAACCTCAAGTAGTTTCAACACGTGTTCACTGAAATTCGGTTGAATTTGGTCAGGTATGCAAAGGATTAATATAACAGGACACTGCGGATACTGCAAGGAAGAAAGAAAAAGGGAAGGGATTAATGTTATTTTTTCAAAAAAGAAAAACAAACCCAACAACCAATATCATTCACTGTTGTTGCTGTTGGTTCCTTCACATTTCTTTTAATGTGCATCAGCTAAAGCCAGAACGTATTCAATTTGCAAACTATGAAAGGTGTCACTTGTCATATTTTAAAACACAAAAAGTATTAAACATGCTGAGAATGTTACCTTTTGCCACTGCATAGAAGCTCAAAGCCTTCACCAATTTTCTCAAAAGGCAACACATGACTTCTTAATGCATCCAAATTAAATTTCTTTTCCATGTATTCTGAAACCAGTTTAGGAATAGCATCTTTCAACCTGAATCCTGGGAAGAAATAAAAGAAAATCAGCAGGTACAACTTTTATTGTTACGTTTTTAAAGGACGAATTGGGGATGATGACTTGTGTAACTGAAAGTGGATAATTTTTTAAAAAGCATATCAATAAATGTTGCACCAAATTTAGTTTCAGATGTTTGCTTTAGTTTCAGACTAGTTCACACAATTTATCAGTTGTGGGCATCTGTTGTTGGGGACCTCCCAAGACATTTCTGAGTTTGTTGTTGTTTATTCGTTCATTCACTTCCGACGTTTCGTGACGTCATGGATCAGCCCATGCCAGAGCTCCCTATTGGCCGTTACCACCCCCAGCTCCTTCAATGTCAAGCCAGTCACTCCAAGGATACCATCCTTGTGAGAGCTGTTCAGCAGTGGAACTCTCTGCCCCGGAGTGTGGTGGAGGCTCCTTCTTTGGAGGCTTTTTAACAGAGGCTGGATGGCCATCTGTCAGGAGTGCTTTGGATGCAATATTCCCGCTTCTTGGCAGGGGGTTGGACTGGATGGCCCATGAGGTCTCTTCCAACTCTATGATTCTATGATTCTATCCATCCATCCATCTTGTCCTTGTCTTTTTTCCGCCCATTTTCCCCAGCGTCATTATCTTCTCCAAGCTTTCCTGTCTTCTCATTATGTGGCCAAAGTAGTTAATCTTTGCTTCTAATATCTTTCCCTCTAGTGAGCAGTCAGGCATTATTTCCTGGAATATGGACTGGTTTGATCTTCTTGCAGTCCAAGGCATTCTCAGAATTTTCCTCCAACACCACAGTTCAAATGCATTTATCTTCTTTTGCTCAACCTTCCTTATGGTCCAGGTCTCACATCCATATGTTACTATGGAGAATACCATTGCTTAAACTATGTGGATCTTCGTTGCCAGTGTGATGTCTCTACTCTTAACTATTTCATCAAGATTGGTCATTGCGCTCCTCCTAAGAAGTAAACATCTTCTGATTTCCTAGCTGCAGTCTGTGTCTGCATTAATCTTTATTATTTATTATTATTTACAGTATTTATATACTGCCTTTCTCACCCCTGGGGGGACTCAAAGTGGTATTTATTATTTACACCTTTGCACCTAGAGAAACAGAGTATGTCCCTGCCTCCATGTTTTCTCCCTCTATTTGCCAGTTATCAATCATTTCTGACTTCTTGGCATAATTTGTTCAGAGAGGAGTTGTATTTGCCTTCTTCTAAGGCTGAGAGAAAGTTTACATGGCTGAGGAAGGATTTGAACTCTGGTTTCCAAAGTTGCAGCCCTATGCTCCAACCACTACGTAACGTTCCATCTTCTGCTCACAACAGGAATGGCTAAAGAAACTATAGAGTTTTGCTTTCTCATGTGGTCCAAATCCAGTTGTTCTCTCTTCCCTTGTTTCTTTCCCTTCTAACAAATCAGAGAAAGAAGCAGGTTTCATATTTCTTCCTCTGGGTCCCCCCCCCCCCCCCGGGTGATGTCATCCAACATGTTTTTATTTCTAGCTCTTCCTGTATGAGTGGACCTCAGGACAAGATACAAACAATGAAATCAGCCTAAAACAATGTAAACAAGTCAAACAATATAAAACGTTAAAGAACAATTTAACCATAACAAAAAAACCAAACCGGCAAATTAATTAAAGGAAAAAACAAACAAGGCATAAAATCTCACAGATGTTTGCCTACAGTGTCATAGTGAAACGGTATGCCTTATATAAAATTGTTAAATCATTGGTTGCCTTTGAGACTTATTAAACCTTTTAAAGCTATGGATAGTTGAATCTGTGGATGTAGAATCCATGGGAAAAGAGCATTTCTCCTTGGCTTTTACCTTTTATTTTCTTTGTAATTTTTTTAGTATCAGGAGCAACTTAAGAAACTGCAAGTCGCTTCTGGTGTGAGGCAATTGGCTGTCTGCAAGGATGTTGCCCAGGGGACCCCTGGATGTTTTACCATCCTTGTGGAAGGCATCTTTGTGATGTCACTTCATAAAGACCTTCTAGTTAATATTTGTAATCTTGAGGAACTGGGTTCAAGAACATTCATACCTGAATCCAGATCTAACCTCAACAGTGAGTTAGTGCTATGGTGCAGAAGATAACTATCCCAATGGCTGTGCAAGTCAATGTAGAAAGTCATTGAAACTGCACATCCTATTTCAATGAACTCATCCCACACATTTAAGTGAAGTTATCAGTCAAAATGGTTGCATGAATGTAGTTTGATCAACTGTATCATACCTCCCATACAACATCCAAGAAGTTTCCTTCCTGTAATGAGCTGAACGGGATCA